AAACGTAAGTATAACAGCACTTACAAGCCACGGGTTCATTTCACATCTCTATCCAAAATACGGATCCATTAAGCTCCATTCTATACATCGGAAAATCTGTCCAAACGATACTGTGGCATACCAAAAGGTTATAAAATATAAATGTATCCTTTTCCTTGCCCGTATCGCTTTCAGTGCGAATAGAGGTCCGAAGCATCCGAAGTCAGACGATAAATTTAGCTATCTTCTTTTCTATTTCTATAGTGCAGTGAAACATGCGAACTTGTTCCTTCGACAGATATATTCCCCGGAATCGTTTCATGGTAGGTTTTATGTGGAACGGAATATAATTTAGTATTATGGGCTGTAGAAGGTAATGAAGTCACTAAGTTATCTACACTCTAACCGTTAACGTTTATTGCATTGTATAGTGCATATTGGCTATTTGATGCATATAAGATTACGTGATAATATCTTAGGATCATATCGCGTCTGGAAGTGGTAGGGAATGTATGTATTTCTACATTATACCTCTATAAGCAAATGATTGGATATTCATTCACATGAACGTCAAATACGAAACCTAGATCTCAGAGTTTTTAATTTTTTTATTATTATAAATCTACGTTGCCTCATACTTTTTTTTTAAGGGGGGAAAATCATCGAATGGCTGCTCCCGCCTGGGTGAGGCGGAAGGGAGTGTCAGACTCTTACTGACTAAAAACCACCTCGTTCCTTCTCCTGCACGTCGAGCCGGAGCCCCGGTTACCCGTTAGGTTCTCCTCGTTGCCTCATACTAGGATTTTCTCTTGTGTCGTGGTTGTGTTTACAACATACATACAACAAACATACAAGTTCACATACACATGACACCCAGACCCGGAACAACAATCTGTGGATCACACAAAGAGTTGTTCCGTGCGGGAATCGAACCCGCGACACGTTGCGCGGCACCCAGTTACCCAACCATCGCGCCAACCGTGCAGTCGTTAATAACAGCTGCACAGTAACTGCTTCTAAAAATAAACAAAGGCATCATACTTGTTTACATTGAACATTAATATTTTTCAATGTCGCACTACAATTTCTGCGTACACACTTCGTTGGCTTCCTTCAAGTTCAAGTCTTTAGTACTTAAGTAATACTCCTGTCAGTTAAACACACGCAGCTGACCTTTCTCAAGGCCGCTAGTAATAAGGTTGATGTTCGTCCTTCTAAGTTTTAACCCTGTAATTTCCTTAGCAGTTGATTTGTAAGTGACTTTTGTAACACATATTAAGTACTCATAACGAGTGCTACTACTGACGACACGCTACGACAGTGGCCGCGTCGCGGGCCGCGGAATGCTGCTCACGAATATGAGCCTCTAGCATGGCTCGAAACTAGTCGAGTTCCTCATCAAACAGTTACGTGAGTAAGCCGAAAACATAATAATTAATTTAGTATAACTTACGAAAGTTTCAATATGAAACAAAAGAAAATTATTGACTAAACCCCATGCTGATATTTTAGAAGTTACTATAAAATCGAAAAACCTTATCTTGTGGTCTTGTGAATGTTAACGTGAAAAACAATTTTGTCTACATAACTTCAGGTCATAAAATGAATAATGGTGAATATTATAAAATAATGGACGAACCGATCAATAATCGTCCATAGTTTATTGTTACGTTCGTATCAGTCGAACCAATGTATCGAAATAATACCGATTTGCATATTAATTGAAAAATTTCACTCGCTTTGCGTTACAAAAGAATCAATTTTTAATATCTGTTTGTACTAGGAATCGATTAGTTTGCCTGGATACAGCTGATATGCCCGCCATGTTTGTTTACGTCCAATTTAATGATACGGCTTATTTTAATTACTAGTCTAATGAAGGGAGACTCGTAAAGCCAGCATTCAGTAGCTATCTAATGAAATTGATCAGTTCAAGATATACACGTTTGTCAGTTTTAATGTCATCGTTAATGGCGTATCGCATTACATTAACAACTAATTTATTCTATACATCAATTATGTAAATGCGATCTCCTAATATTATAACATGGGAAAGATTTCGTTTTCTATCTTTAAGTTTGGTTTTAGAAAAATGTTGTCTCAGATTTATTGTACGCTTATAATCCCACCTATAAGGAAACTTTCTTTACTTTACTTTATCCCCAAAAATATTATTCTTCCTTTAAAATATAATTGGTTTTCAATATTCTACCCTGCGGGTTCACGTGGAACGGAAGAATATGAACCTAACCATGACATTTAACCTTTTCAATTCCACAATAACTTCGTCCTTAATATACACGCTAATCGCAAGGAACCATTCAGCCACGAGTCATATTCACACGTGAACTCTAAGACCTTAAAGAGAAAGGCTATAATATGCCCGTGGGAAATACAAGCCGCCATCTCATAATTTCCCTCCAACATTTTACATCTTACAATTTATATTTCAATCTTGTTTTTCATTCGTTTTCTCAGCCTATCGTAAAAACTTTTACAAGGAATCATGTGTGAAATGGAACGGTTTTTTTTTGTATCTGTGGCAGAAGTGTTTGACCTTTGGCGGGAGATTTGCAGTTTTTGATAAGACGAGTTTATTGGCGGGTCGGTGTAGGTTGTCGATATGTGAATAAACTTACGGGTCAAAGGACTGACTTGTATGATAGATCCGGCCGAGTATTCATCGTTTTGCAAAGGTCAGATTGTACTAAAAGTGAGAATTTCGAAGAAAAAACGCTATATAACCCTTTGCCCAGTTTTGAGATCCCGTGATATCTATTGGTGCTCACTAAAAATATCTATACTTATTACTTGTTACCGGCCTTTTGGGGATTAGGAGTTTGAGGATCGTTGGGGATTCAGGAATTGGGCAGATTTGGAAAGGGGATAGTAATTCTCCGGGAACCTCACTCACGCGACGAAACACAACGCTTCACGTCGGTTTTCTGTGAGGCCGTGGTATCACTCCGGTCGAGCCCACCCATTCGTGCCGAAGCATGGCTCTTTCACACTTAAAATTATATGTATGTATATTTTTTATAATATAAGTGTATTGTAGAAGTTCAAACACAATGTAATAATTATTAATGAATAAATGAATTGAATTGATGAAAATTGGAATACAGTCATTCGATGATTTTCCCCCCTTAAAAAAAAAAAAAAAAAAAGGGGGTACACACATTCACACATAGGCTCGTTATCCAACAGGATCGCGGACAAAGCCGTTGATAGAAGCTAGTATTAAACTGTCAAACACCAAGCGGTCACCGGTGACCGCAACCTATTGTTCTTTAATTGTGTCTATAAATACGTACTCGACGAGTTAAAATACAACATACTACATACACAGCTGTTTCATAACGGTTCATGTTGCCCGTTAATGATAGTAACAGAAATACCAGTGAAATGCGAAATGCCAAACATTGTGACCTAGTTTCGGTTCCCGTGTCAAAAACTAATCACTAAAATACATCCGGGTGCTTTTAATGTGTATTTATTATTGTGCATGATTTTGTTATTGTGTTTTAGAGAACTATTTGGCTATAGGTATCATTAAATTTTGTTATTTTTTGAAAAATGCATGCATATTTTTTTTGCTTCGGTATTATAAGTAATACAGTAAAGTATTACTTGGGTTTTAAAAAAAATTTGAGTAGTAAGGAGTCTAGAAATGTGTCCGATATATGGCAATAGACTCACCCCCTATGACATGGGACTTACAACATAATTAGTGCAAATTGTTACATTGTACAGTGGCATTAAGTGCCATAATGTGCACGTCTGCCTACCCCTTCGGTGATAAAAAGGCGTGATGTTATGTTATAGTTTAGAAAAGATTTCAAATTAGAAAGATGAGGCTTACAATTCATAATTCTTAAGTCTTGTAATAAAAAACCTTAACATTGACAATTATTTAAGATATCAATTAAATGATGCTGACACCAGCTCCCTATTTCACCTCAAAAAAAACTTTAAAAATGTACGACCCATCACCACCAAAACCAAATAACATTATGTGCATGAAATATATGAGGGGTAACTTTTAAAAATTAAATATAATAACCAAGGGCTGTTATCTAAGATGAGTTTACCATAAAACGTCCCCTGGTCCAAATAAAAAAGTGAAGCCCATGTTTTAAAATTGGATGGATGGTAAAATCCCATTTTTTGCAACCCTAAACCGTAGTAAGCGGGTTATTAAATTAAATTGAAACCAATGTTTACGAAATTGAATTTAAAAAAAGATATTCTCAATATTAAACGGGACCCTCTATTTTTACTGTGCTGAATTCAATGATCAATTTCTTTTGTAACACTGTTATACAATTGAAATGAACCAATTTAGAATTACCTAGAACCGACTTATCTTTGTCTTACAAACTAACTATTCTGTCCTATCTATCTCATAAATAACGGAAGAAAGAAAGAAAACTATACGTACCTAATACTAAAAACTAATGTTTTGTCAATCTACTACTACTACAAAATACGAAATACATTTGCCTCCCGAGCGTGCCTCAAAGAGGCATCAGACCACCACATATGGGGCCCAATAAAGCCTGCCGATACAGGGTCCTTAGACAAAGTAACATCGCTTAATAGCGAAACGAAAAGTAAATTCGCCATCGTCTCTGAGATAACGATAAACATTTCCTAGCCAATGTAACACTATGGTCGTGATCGTTGTGTCGAATTCTTTATTCGTCAAAAAACAAAAATATTGGTTATGGTATCGAAAATCCAGCTGTCAGTGTCAGTCAAAAAGTTCAAATCGGATCAAACCCGCGAGATATTGATGTTTTAAAATTGTATTAATAAGAAAGTGAGTGTTGTGTTAATTGTTTTTAAGTTAAATATAAACGACATTTTTACAGTGGTAAGTGAATAGAGTGTTATTACTTTTAGATCGTTTCCAAAACTTAATGATAATCAAATTAGACTCATTTTTATAAGTGACTGGTATTCAAACGATGATGGATCTCTCTCTATTTCTTATCTATTTTAATATTTAGGGATAAAACATGGAATCAAGAGTACGAGCAAGTCCTGAACAATTCGCAACGCTGCTCGAGTATATGGAAACGTAAGTAAATCTAAGTTTTATTCATGAGTATGTAATGTAAACAATGACGCGATCTTAACAATGAAGTACCTATATTGAATCTTTGTTTGTTTATGTTACAGTCATGGTGACCTGGCGAGGCCTGTTGCTGGACCACAAGGTCGGTTACGGTCAGACCGATTGTGGGCTGAACTGACCAACATATTAAATGCTGTTGGTGGTGGTGTCAGCAAAACGACAGACAAGTGGAAAAAAGTAAGGATCTAATGAAATTTTTTAAAAGACTGGTATGATGGTAGAGTGGCTAGCAAGCTATTTTTTCAAGGGTTTTGGATAAGAGGACACAACATTGCAGTTATGAAGGTTGGCTTGTAATCACTCTGTTATTACTAGACTGGGGACTTTTGATAATTTTGATGATGATGATCAATCTTGGACACTCATAGTAAGAAAGAAAAAACGTTTATTAGCACATACCATAAGTACACACAATATAAATAAAGAAAGCAAATATTTATAAGAAAACTTACAACTAAACATTAACCTTCTTACTACAAAAAGTCAGACAAGTACAAGTATAGTACCTATAGTATGTACAAGCTATGATTTAGTGTCCGATGGCCATATGAGAAGATGCCATGCGCTTGTTATTTTTCAATTTATTTCAAAAGTTCTGACCGAATTGGCTTTTTAATCTCATACACTTATAACATATGTACTTATCACTGTGACTGATTTTTATTCAATAAAGGTGTGGGCAGATTGGAAGTCCAAGACCAAAAAAAAGGCATTGACTATAAGACACCATGCAAGAGGTACTGGAGGTGGGCCAGCAAGCGGGCAAAACTTGTCTGCTACTGACGAAAGAATGTTGGCTATAATGGGTCCTTTAGCAGTGACTGGACAAGTCTCTGTAGAAGAGCTAGGATTTAATGTAAGTACTATACACCTTCAAGGCCCCTGCTCAATAATGAGCTAATTTTCTCTAATAGCCAGATGTTTTATAAAATATTCCTATTAACATTGGTCAACATGTTAGTTAAGGGCAACAAAAGTTACTTAGATAACATGAAATACACATTTCATTTCTTGATAAATTATTTTTATTTGTTTAAACTGGTTATTAATTAGTATTTTTAAAATTAATATTATTATATATAACTATAAAAAACGTTGCTATAATTTTACATAACTATGATACTAAAAATAAATATGTTATTTCAGTAATAAATAATTTCATTACATCTACCACTTATTTTTATTAAATCTACCACTGCCAATATTTTTCAGAGACCTCTAAATACTGCACAAGAAGATCCTGTCGCCCAAGATGATCCTGTCACCCAAGATAATTCAGTATTTTTGGAAATTTTAGATGGTAAGTCTAAAGACTTAAAATCTTACTTCTTACTGATATTATTTTATAAACGTGGAAGTTTGTTACTCTTTCACGCAAAAACTACTAAATGAATTTTGATAAAATTTAGTACACACATACCTAGTTTATAACCCAGATCAACACATAGGATAGTTTTTATCCCGATTATGGGTGAAGCCACTGGCAACAGCTATTATCATAATATTTATTTGTTATGACTATGTAAAATTGTCTAAAATTTCTAAAGAACCTCAGTTTTGCTATTTATATTCTATATCTGTATGCCAATTTTTAACGAAACCCGTTCAGCCGTTTTTGAATGACTGAGTAAGAAACTCGCAAACATCCAAAGCTTTACATTTTACAAAATAATTTGATTTCAGAAAACATTTTTAACAAACAGAAGATCTGTAAACTGTCCAAAATAACTCTCATTTTCTTTTGCAGACACTCCACAACTGAATACTTTGTCTCCTCAACCTTCCACTTCACAGCCCTCAAATAATTGGCTTCCGCCTTCTACACCATCACCCCTTCCGCTCGTGCTCACTCAGACTTCGACTCAAGGACGGCAGCCTGTTGCGCCAGCCCCGCCAGCCACACCAACCACGGCAGCGCCATCCCCGCCAACACGTGCAGAGCCTACTACTCCGAGGAGAAGGCGGCTACCTGCCCCCCGCACGTCTGCTATTTCTCCATCCACCAGGCGTCGCCCGCGGTTGAGGTCGCCAGCGACACCGCAGTCTGCTGCCTCTCCCGACCGTCCTCGTTTGCGCGCCCGCCGTAGACAGGCACCAACCCCCTTCGAGAGAGCGGCAAGCGAGTTTACGGCTGTGGAATTACGACGCCTGGAGCTGGAGGAAGTCCGGACTAGGCAACAACACGAGCGAGACATGCGAGCGTTGGAGGTTGAGCACGAGCGGAACCAGGTTTTTAGTTCTATAGTGAACGTAGCTCAAGCTTGGCTTGACTATTTTCGCAGTAGGGACAACACAGAACGGCTGAATACTGAGTAGTTCAGCAATTGTCTTGTCCCTATTGCTATAGTAATCAAAGGTTTTTTAGTATGCATGTCTGAAGCGTTAGGCATTCTGTATCTCAGACTCTTGTCTTGTGCCCAGCATTTGATGTATAAAGGCTGATTAATATAATTGTTATGTTTAGTAGAGATACTAATTATGTAAGGTCAAAATTTCATAGAATTTATCAAGCGACTGAATAAAAATATTTGATAGTAATTTTAGTTATTCACCTATATAAGATCCTATTAACTAAGCAATTGTTGGATTATGACCTATTGAGGTGGGGTTTGTCTTGTGCCCAGCAGTTAATGTATAAAGGCTGATTAATATAATTGTTTTGTTTAGTAGAGATACTAATTATATGTATAAGGTTAAAATTTCATAGAATTTATCAAGCGACTGAATAAAAATATTTGATAGTAATTTTAGTTATTCACCTATATAACATCCTATTAACTAAGCAATTGTTGGATTATGGCCTATTGAGGTGGGGTTTGTCTTGTGCCCAGCAGTTGATGTATAAAGGCTGATTAATATAATTATTGTTTTATTAGTAGAGATACTAATTATATAAGGTTAAAATTTTATAAAGTTTATCAAGTGACTGAATAAAACTATTACAATATTTAATAGTAATTTTATTTATTCACCTACATTACATCCTACTAACTAAGCGATTGCGCATAGCCCTGCCTCGGATTAACTCATTTTGGTTATCATTGCTGGAGGTGGTATGTTGTACAGCATGATCTTCCCTATCTTCTAGACCCCCAGCTGGCATATCACTTGGAGGTGGTATTCTAGCATCTAATGCAATGTTGTGCAGAACACAACATGCGTTAGTGATTTTGCTAGCCATGTAAGGGTGATAATGAAGAACTCTGTGTCGAAGCATACACCTCCAACGAGCCTTGAGTAGTCCGAAACAGCGCTCAATGCGGGACCTGGCTTGGACATGACGTCGTGTGTACACCTCTGCCTGGGATCCTGGTTCAGCATCTAATATAGGCGTCATCAACCAGGGCCGTAGAGGGTAACCAGAATCTCCTAAAAAAAAGGAAATTTATTTTTGTTAATAGTCTACTCCAGTTCTAATAAAGAATTGAATAACCGTTGTTTATATGTAGTCATGCTCACTTAAATATAGTGCAATTACTGCTTGGTGTATAGGGATTTTACAATACCTATATGTAACAACTTACCTAATAACCAAACATGTTCACCACTTTCATGAAGTCCTTCCATGTATGTGCTCACGTAACTTGCAGACCATATGTGTGAGTCATGTGTTGCTCCACCAAATTTTGAATTAACATTTATGATGCGCAAGTCATAATCACATATCTGAAAAGAAAATAAAACTATAGGTACTTATTGTTTGATTTCCACAAAGAACCAAATTGCAATGAGGATAAGGGATTTAATTTCGAATTAAGGTATTACAAAATATTTAAAAGATATTTTATAGATTTCACTATGTATACAATAACCCTTTATTTCGCTTTGTTGCTTGGCACGTAGGCTTCCTCTTACATTCTCCATTGAGTTCATATTATAAATAAGGGTTATTTTATTTATAAATACATAAACACATAGTTTCAGAGAACTTTGTTAACCACATATACATTATGAGTAGAATTTATCTAGCAGCTTACCATTTGAACATTTAAGGAATGATATCCTTTTCTATTAAAAAATATGTGTTCCTCCTCTACCGGTTTTGTAATTGCAATATGGGTACAGTCAATGCACCCTATCACACCGGGCAAATTATGTGTCCTTTGAAATCTGTAAATTATAATATTTAATAATTTTACAACAAATATCAAAGAGTAATTATTTAGGTATGTAGGAACCTAAGAAAAATTTTAATTAGGTATTTAAACTATTTAAAAATATATTTACATACTTCTCTTTGATTAGGGATCTCTTGTGTGGTGTTTGTGGAAACACTATCCACCTGCTGACCATCCAATTGTGATTGAGGGCGTTCACAACCTCTCTGATGCAGCGACTTGTGGTCCGTTGCGTCAAATGCTGGCCCACACCCACAATTTTTTGGTATGACCCTGGCTAAAAAGCTAAGAGCACACAGAACCTGAAAAATATAATAATACATAGATAAGTTAACCAATTTAGGTTAATATGGTTTTATTTTTATTTATACAGCAGTTCATAAAGTATTGTGTGGTGCCACAATATTTTTGTTGTATAGTACCTATAAACTAAGCATACGAAGATGTTTTAACTCAAGCTATAAGGAACAACAACCAAAAATATGAATATTGTTATTTGTAAAATTTCTTACCTTTATTTCCAAGGGAATTTCTGAGGAACCTTTTAATCGTGCATGAGCTTTTAGGTCCTTGCATAAATTCCTAAATGCTCTTTTATTAAGCCTGAAATGTTGGATGAACAACAATTCAGGCATTTCTTCAATTGTTTCCAATTGCCGTCGCTGTCTTAACCGTTTTTGGCGCCTCTCCCAGGCGGTCTCATTGTGTGCAGCCCACAATAAACGCAGAGAATGCATTTTGTAATCTATTTGATCTGTATTAGTGTATTGCCTCTAACACAAAAAAAATACTAACAGGATCAATCGATGTCAAAAATCAGCTGCCGAATGAAATTCGGCCATATTGTTTCAATAACTACAACGTTTTAGCATTCGTTTCGTTATCTTTTTTGACGATCACGATCGAGGCGTTGGCGAACACTGAAAGGTCTGCTTGTCTACGCATTTATATGGAATAAACACGATAACGATTCGTTACTTTATAGTTTCGTTATGAAATATAACATTGTCTACCAAATTGCGATAACGATGCCGATTGACCACGTGACTTAACGCGGCCTATGTCAATCCCATACATTTTAGTCTTATCTAACTTCGTTATCGTTTTTAAATTGTTACTTTGTCTAAGCCCCCAGAGCCGCGGAGAACGTAAATGGTTGCCGGGGCTCCGGCTCGAAGTGCAGGAGTAGGAACTGGGTGGTTTTTAGTCAATGTGAGTCTGACACTCCCTCCAAATGACGCAGAAGTCATTCGATGATTTGCCCCCCTTAAAAAAACATTTGCCTGTTTGTCTGTTGAGTTCAAATGGTAAACTGAATTCAGTAATTAATCCTGGACACACTAAATACCACAAACCTGGATTACCACAAGCACACTATAATTTAGTGCCTACATTTTCATATAAATGTGATTATTACAATCATACTCCGAATCATACTCCGAATCATAATTAAACATACAATTGTCACATCTATTCACACTAACTACTAAGTAGATAATCTATTTATGCCTGACAAAATATATACATTAGCAGATAGATTGTCGACACTAATTTAATGGGAATAAATTCTAATATTACATGGCAAATCTCTATTAATATCACACATTCATAGACCTATATGTTACATAGGTACTCAAGTCAAAGGCATTCTAATCTCGTCAGTGTTTGAAGCTCTAACACATACTCAAACGCGTAGGCCTTTAATTACTACAATATACGTAATACGTACTTAATATTAAACGGTAACATTGAGGGCAAATACAAATAACTCCACGACAAAGGCACGAGTAATATCTTACATAAATAACACAATAATCGAATAATAAATATTATTTAATAGCATATTTTCTACGATTTATCTCTAGACATTACAAGTTAAGATACAAATAAGAACCATTATAGGGACGAAGACCTTTTGTCAGCTTCAAATGAAGGTGAAAATGTTATTGTGAAACAACCGAGAATCGAGATGATATAAAATCGAATAAACTGAACAAATTATTCGATGCTAACTCGCGAAGAACTCGCCTATTAAAAATTCCAATCATTTGCGCTTTGCCGACAGGACATAAATCCGATATTGTCTGCGAAATTAATGAAGTTCGATGCCGAAGCTGACAACAGAGAAAAGGGTATTAAGATATTTTTTCCTTTTTCGTTAATACGAGTTAGATATAACGAATGGCATAAAAGGGAGATATTTTTGGAGGTATTGCTGATAGATGTCAAAAGCCAAAGTATGAGCCAGATGAAATGGATGAAATATGATAAATTAATCCTTTCAAGATTGATTTTTATGGCGTCTCTTAGTGTAATAGTATGCCAATCTTCATCAAAAAGATAAGCTGTGGTGCCTTAAGCAGCACAAACAAGTTCTATAGAAGTAAGAAGATGTAATGATGTAAACACTAATAAAGCGTTAAGACATCGCTTACCGAGACTCCAAAACTGTACCAGCCGCTCTTAAAAGGCAAAGGTATCAGAAAATGACCAACGTATATTTATTTAGGTACAGAATATTAATCATAGATTTAATTTAAATTATTAATATGGATTAAAATTTACACGCAACAGTGATTTTAAGTCTAAGCTCAGGGATGACAAAGTTCAAAATTGTGTTGTAGCAATTTTTGGGCCGAGCCTGTTTGAGACGTAGGCACGTAGGTATTGCCCACGTAATCCTGTCAAATTAAAGTATAAACAAAACTGCTGGAAAGGTTTAAACCACTGAAAAAGGCTAGACTTTAGACGTTTCACCTTTGATCAGGCCCAACTGACCGTTTCGTTAGTCGCTCTACTTGTGCGCAAAATTGTTAACAAACCGAATTTTGGAAGGTAAAAGAAAATACTAGAATGTTCATTTTCACGATAAAATACATTTTAGGTAGATCGTTAGGGTTTGCAAGTGAATATTTTTAGTTGAAACTGCTTTTGAGGGCTGTCAGCGGATTGGAGTAAAATTGTTGAAAATAAGGTTTCGATACTTACTGGCACGTTGCACTAAACGACTTTTCAAATATGAGTCATATTTGGTCATATTATATGACTCAAATTATACAAATAAAGAATACAATAATAAAATTAAATAAACAATACAGATATTAGATTCTGATGTACCTACAAAATTGTCATTAATCTTTTATGGAGTAAAATTCTTATTTACAAATTAATGTCCATAATTCATTTCATTTCATGTCA